ATCTGTCAGAAAGGGACACTTTTCCAGTGGAAATAAGAGCAGTGTTTGGAAAGAGAACTAGAGGCCATAGAAATGAGAAAGGTGACAGAAAAAAGGGAAAATCTGGGATCAGAGGGGAAATGGAGTGCGGCAAAACATGAGGTAAGTTTTAATTTTTTTTTAAGATATGAAGTAAGATATAAAAGAAAACAAGAACAGCAAAGAAAAGGTAAGAGGGTGAACTACTCAGCATCACATTGGAGAACAATCACATTGGAGGATAAAAAGAATGGTAGCTTGGGGATGATAGTTTGGCGGGCTCAGACATGCATGGTAGGCACCAAGTTACTCAGCTCTAGAACTTTCCATATAGAGTCTCTGCAAAGGTGCAAACCCACGTGTGAGGTACAGAGGCCATGAAAAATAACATCAATTAGAAACAAACTGCACTGGTTGCCAGTAGACTTACCATACATACTTGTCTATAAGTCAAAAAAATTATGCCAAAATATTTACCCCAAAATCCTGGATCAACTTATATGTGGGTCAATATGGTAATCATGATCAGAAAGTTCCTAAAAAAAGTGGCACCCACCATCCCATTCTCCTTACTTTGGCAGCGCTGCCCAGGCAAAAAAACAGACTTCCTGTGTTTGTTGCTAGTTTGCTAGGGATATTCCAAAGCCCTGCTGCATTTGCAAGGAGTGTGTGTGTGTGTGGTGAATAGTGCTTTTTCTGATGCCCTTGCTTTGTCCTTTACATCCTTTGTTACAGCTCCTAAATTGTACCCTCAACTTATCCATGGGACATATCAAAATCCATAATTTTAGCCCTAAAACCTGACCTCAACTTATACATAAGGTCGACTTATACACAAGTATATACGGTAAGCAGCTTGGAACCATAACGTGAAGGAACATCTTTCACCATATACGCCTGCCTGAGAGTTGAGGTGTTTTGGAGCAGCTCTCCTCTGTGTTTCATCAATGGGGGCAATACACTGTGGGAGGATGTCACAAAAGATCTACTCTTTAAGATGCCAAGGGGAGCCAATGCTGGTGTCATTCTGACGCCAAGTGACAACATGGTTTTATACAAAAGCTTTCAGGACCAAAATGAATTAGTCCAAATTTCTACATGTGTGTCATTTTAAATTGTCTAAAACTGTTTAAACTGGCTTTATGTTGTCTTAAATGTTAAATCTTTTAGATATTCTTTTAGGGCCTTTGCAGACTGCTAGAAATAGTGCAAATTGAGTCCACTTTAAGGGTTAGGGAATCATGGGAACTGTATTTTATTGTGGCACCAGACCTCTCTGACAGAGAAGGCTCAATGTCAGAAAAAACAAACAATCCCCATGACTCCCTAGCACTAACCCTAACCCTTAAACTGGACTCAATATGCACTATTTCTGGCAGTCTGCAAAGGCCCTTAGTCTCTGACAAAGAAGCTCTTTTTTATGTCCACCCAACACTCCCCTTTCCCCATCATTCTCTGTCTGCCTGGAAGCCTTTTAAGCAGCATCAACATTGGGAGAATGGCAAAGACTGGAAAAACAAGATATTCAATGTTGGGTTGTAGCAGCATGTCTGCATTGAACAATGCAATAAACAAAGCTTAAGCTGGGAAAGATCAGGATTCTACTCTAGCTGATTTTATTGTATCTGAAGGCAGAGTAAACAGCAGCTGCTTCTAGAATCATTTACTGAGCATGCAGGGACAGAAAAACAGTGCTCTTTTTCTTCTCCTCTTCTTTTTTCTTGCTGATATTTCTCCACTGTGGTGCTCATTTAGTGCTTTTCCTTGCTCACTTTCCTGTCCCTCACTTACCAGGTAGTACTGGATCTCTTTCTTTTCCAAGACTGGTGCTCCTTCATTGTGGAGCACCACTGGAGTTACCTAAAGGCTCTCTGGAGAAATCTTCAGGCAATCTTGCATGAAGATTTGGCTCTTTTGCTTACAGAAGGCACTGCAGACTACAGATAGGCATTGTTAAATAAAATGAATTATTTTAAAAACAAAATTATTCTGCAGCATAGGGCCGTTTAATATACATGCAAGCTTCAGGTACTGAATCTCGGCATCACAGACTTGGAATTATGGCAGGGATACACATAGATGGTGACAGAGTTCTTTTTTTTTATTTATTCTTATATTCTATATGAGTTGTAATCCCTAAACAGATTAAGGCACTCTTCAATTAAGAAGTAGGTCCAGAGAATTTCTATGCCTGCATCCTTGGAAGTCTTTCTACAGGTGGCTGTTTATTTTGAATTATAACAATAACCATCACCATCTAGTAATTATTGTGCTATTAGTGGCAGTGAAGTGCTATACTAAAATTTCAACTTTTATCAGTTGAGGATGACACTGGAGTCAAACAGACCATCATCTTGGAGTGGCCGCTGCCACAGTCCAGAATGGACTGCTGGCAAGGAACGGTTTTCACCTGCTCCTTTTACAGCCAGCTTTGGGCCGCATTAGCCAGCCTCGGCGCGGCTTCCGGCCGATCCAGGGGCATGCGTCATCTGCATGCCATGCTCCCAGATTAGGTTGAACATGCTGCTTTTTGCTGGCTGTTTTGGCCCACTATTGGGTATGACGGATAGGACTAATGGCCATTCATGTCCAACAACATCTGAGGGTTTTTGCGTTTCCCACCCTTCTGTCAGATGCAGTTTGCCAATAAGTTTTACATTAGTGTCTTATGCCTGAGCAACAGTAAAAAAGATGAGAAAGATGCAAAAGTGTTAGTTACTTGCTAAGGTATGGGAAAAGTTTCAAACCTGGGGAGAAGGATGAAACTAACATAAAGAATTACAATTTAATTAGCTGAAAAAGTTCTTACCTGTTCAGTGCAAATGCATAATGAAACTTCACATGATGATGCAAAGCCAAGTCAAAGGTTGGAAGTTTTTCTAATGTTTCTACCAGTTTCACAATAGAATCATAATCCTTCCAAAGAGACAGAATAAAGGAATATAGTCAAAGAAAGAAAAACAAAGGTTCCACTCTTATGCTTATCTTGCATGATGAGATAAAATACTCAAAAGGGTTCCAGAACCATGAAGTTCACCCTCATTCAGTGCCAGTGTTCTTAACTCAACCCTCTTCTCACCACCCAGCTATTCCACTTGCTGCATCCAATCCCTCTCAGAAACTGCTTTGTTGCACTGAAGTCCTGCATCTCTTTTCCAAATCATACTATTTAGGAAGGGTGAGGGAAGAGATTCCATCTTGTATTTCAGAACATAAATTATTGCTCAAGAATAATTTTTCAGAATATTGCAAATTATAATTGTCATTATACCTATTATTCAGCATGTGTTTTGGGTGGGTGGGTGGGTGTGGTGTATTTGTTTGCATTATGCACTCCTCATTTTCCTTTACCTGGATGAGAATGTGCATCTTAATTCACATCCACATCAATCCAAATTTCATGAATAATATTCATGACACGAACATGAGATGCTGCTCTGCATCCAGAAGAGTGGGAAGCTATTTCTGGGTGCAGGTTTCCCTGCCTTGATCTGTATGATCATGTACTGCAAGCTTAAAATTCTGAGTGAAATGTTATGGGGTACAAGAGACTAAAGAAGGAATAAGAGATCAGGGAAAGAACTGAGTTGAAGCTCCTATGTAATGGCAGAAGCTCTGCATGAGGCTGTTGGGATTCCACGTGCCGTTCTTAAAATAGTTGTTTCTTAAGAATAAAACTTGGGGAGGAAAGATTAAACCCGTGGTGGAGAACCTATGGCATGCGTGCTAGAGAAGGCATGCATGCAAAATCATTTTCCCTGATATGCAGGGAGACGCAGCTGAAGGCCCAAAAGGGGGAGGGCCTTCTCTTCCCAGGCCTTCAGCTGCCTCCGGAGAGGCAGGTAAAGGCCAGGGAGGGTATGGGGGGAGAAGTCCCACCCCAGAAGTCCGGCCCCAGAAGACAGAAGTCATTCCCCCAGAGGTTGTAAGTCCCACTCTGGAAGTCCGCCCCCCCCAGCCCTGGGTAACACCCGGCGCCAGGACACTTTTTAGTTTGGGCACTCAGCCCCTAAAAGGTTCACCATCACTGGATTAAACCATCCTGCCCTGAAGGAATTAGGAGAAGCACCAGACACCACTTGGCAAACTGGTACTATCCAGGTCCAAGTGGTGGCCTCTTCTTCACTGACTTATCACAGAAGGGCTCATGAGAAACCATCTTGCCCAGAGAAAAGGCTTGCAAGTCATGAACAGGAAATTAAAACAAACCTGCGGAAGGCAAAGAGTAAGATGCTATCCCCACCATACTCTGCAAAAGGTATCAGGAACTGAATCTTACTTCATCACTGGTGACAGGACAGTGTCTGCCACTTCACTTGAATGAAAGTAGCAGCCTAGCTTAATAGGTACAGAGCAGACTGTGCCAAACAACTTCATATAACAAACAACTCTCCACAACAACAACTGGCTGCTGCCTTTCCACATCTGCCAACTGAGGCGACTATCTCATTCTGCCTAATGGTAGGTCCATCTCTGATCTGGGAATTTATAGGCAACCACCAACAAACTTCTCTTCTCTTTCAATCTCTTTCCTTGTGTCTTCTTGCCTTTTTATCTTGTAAACCTGAGGTCAATTACATCTCAAGAGTGCTGTGTTGTTTTAGACTGAACTGTTTTCATTGTGGGTTTTTAAAAATCTTTTAATGGTCTCTTATCTTTCAAAGTGTCATTTTAACTCACTTTAATATTGTCAAAACTTTAGCCTCTTTTTAATGTTCACTTTTTGTATGTTTTTAGACATGTGAGCCGCCTTGGGCCCCTTCGTGGAGAAAGGCAGGATAGAAATTAAACAAGCAAACAAACAAACAAACAAATATGTATGTATACATTTTATTCCTTCAAGTCATTTCTGACTTATGGCAGCCCTAAGGCAACCCTATCATGGGTTTTTCTTGGCATGATTTGTTTGGAGGAGGTTTGCCATTGCCTTGCTCTGAGGCTAAGAGCATGTGAATTGCCCGAGGTCACCCAATGGGTTTCATGGCCAAGTCAGAATTTGAACCCTGATCTCCAGAGTCCTAGTCCAACACTCAAACCACTATGCCATGCTGGCTCTCTGTTTTTAGCCATAGTATTTTGTTATCTGGAAGCTGCTTTGAGTCCTAATTTTAGGAGAAAGTTACCTTGGGAGCATGGGGCGCGGTGGTTAATCTTTAAATAAGTAAATATAAACAAATAAAGTGTGGCATGTTTCCACACAGGCCCAGTGAACATGCACTGAGATGCCATTTACCAGTTGACCAGCATCAGATGCCACTCCTGAGGGTCCATCTTTTGGAAGTAATGTTTGCATCAACTTTGTGGGGTGCTACAGCAAGGGAGTGTAATTTCAAAAATGACAGCATATGTGTAGAATCTCCTCACACAATTACTTTATGACCTGACTATTACACTTCAGCAGGGCCTCCCAGTAAGTATAACATAACAGTCTGGGGCGGGGGGCAGGGAATCAGAATCCTAGCCATTATGCGTCCACCTTTTTCCACACACCAAATCACAGATGTACGAAGCTGCCATGGTAACAAAGTTCTGTTATTAAATCTGGAAACTGTAGAGTGCTTTCACTCGGCAATGAGACAAAAGTTCCAGCAAGTCATTTACTCAAAGCTTTCCCCATGTCTCTTTTCATGAGAAGAGGCAGCTGACCCAGATCCATTACCGACCAAGCTTTTATATTTTGAGATTTTTTTGCAATGGCATCTGTAAGACACTAATTTCTCCTACAAAACATACCATCACTCCTCCTAACACCACAGGATAGTTTCATACTATTACTATCAGATAATCAGTGATTTTAAAAAAAAATCTTTTAAAAAATATTTACAGGATAGTATTGTTTTCTATAGCTGCTAGAAGTTTGCAATTACTTTTTTATTTGAGTATATGGATGTTCGTATTTCATTCTGGGAGCTTGCATGGAATGTCTCTGTTAGGCTTGTATAGATAATGCACTAAGTTTTTTTTCTTCATTTATACTGAACAGGCTGAGAGTATTCTTTGCTAAATTTGGTACTTGTGCAAAGATATCAAACCATGTGTAATAAAGTTCTAACAGGGAGCTAGCATGGTGTATTGATTAGTACATGGTGTATTGATTAGTACATGGTGTAGTGGACTATGACTCTGGAGACCAGTGTTCAAATGGCATCCTGGCAGTGGACATCCACTGACCTTGAGCAAGTCATCCTCTCTCAGCCTCAGAGGAAGGAAAAAGCACACACACAACCCCAAACAAATCTTCCCAAGAAAACCCCATGATAGGGTTGCTTAGGGTTTCCATAAGCTAGGAATTACTTGAAGGCACACAACAACAACACCTTCTAATAGTTATCTTAGCTACTAAGTGCCAGTAGGACTGTAAACAATATGATCAACTGAAAAATAAGGAGGCATGCTCAGGGGAACCCTTTAAGTACCACTACAATCACCCCTTAAAAATTAAAAACACATTTGCACAAAAGAAAAACCAAAGAAGGAGCAGGCTCAGTAGCATTGGAAAACACAGCTTTGATTTTAAAAGAAAAATGGAACAGAGAAAGATAGGAGGAGAGAAACAATGCCTTGCTTGGTGGGAAAGGTTCAGGGAGCAGTAAACAGGCAGACTCCTTTAAGGAGAGAATCTATCACTTCTTTCTGGGTATCCCTTGTCTTATATATTCTATTTTCCATCTTCAGGAGACAGTGCATATGCTCATCTAGCTAGAGCAAGAAGACACAGACAACACAGGGAGGGGGGAACTGAGGTTTGTAGAAGTACAAAAAAATCTTCGGCTGGGGGGCAAGGAAAGGAAAAACCCAGAAAGACAAAACATATGCAGTGGGCAAGGAGTGCTGCTTATTTGTAGGGAGAGCAAGAATTGGGTGAGAGCAGGTATGGAAAAGAGTGCTTGGCAAAAGAAAACAGAGAAAGGGACATATATATGCAAAGAAAAAAATTGCAGAGAAAACCAATGCATTGTTAGACTATCTGAAATACCATATCTTTCCATACATGTCTGCTTGAGCTTTAAGATCCCCAATGGAGGTCTTTCTCTTGGACCCTCTATCTTCATAAGTTGGTTGGTGAGGACAGAGAACACAGTCTTCTTAGTAGCTGCAACCAGGCTACAGAAAGCTCTACCGACTAGGCTGACACCGCCCTGCTTTCCTTCCACTGGCAGGTAGAGATCTTTTTTATCTGAACAAGCATTTTAAGACTACCGGTAATAGTGTCTATGAAGAATGGTCTTTAACAGGTCTATGTGTGTGCTGCATTTTTTATTGTTGTTGTCAGCATTTTAATTTTATGGGTTTTTAAAGTACTGATGTTTTAATAGGTAGCTTGTAAAATTGTTTTTATTGTTACTAATTCATGTTGTTGCTGTTGTTGTTGTTGTGTGCCTTCAAGTTGTTTCCGATTTATGGGAAACCTAAGGAGAACTTGTAACAGGTTTTCTTAGCAAGATTTGTTCAGAGATGATTTGCCATTTCCCTCCCCTGAGGCTGAGAGGATGTGACTTCTCCAAAGTCACCCAGTGCATTTCCATGGCTGAACCAGGATTCGAATCCTGACTTTGACTTGTGTGTGAGGTGCCTTGAGACCCACCAGGGAGAAAGGTGAGATATAAATAAAATAAAAGAGTCTATATAGGGGGTTTCCTGGTCCACACTTAGAAGATATTGGTAAGTATCTCCAGGGATGAAATAATGAATACTTCCCACATAAATCAATGAAGAAATTTATAATTTTAATGAAAGGCCTTGTATTCGCTCTCTAAATCCCCATAACACAAATAGCAACAAATAGAAGAGTTATTGTTCTCTTTAACTCTGTTCTTATTTAGTGTGGATTTTTTAAAAAGAGCCTGCTAATGCTTATTGCACAACTGATGCAGTCCTATCCTGAGGCAAAGTCAAGCACTCAGCTGCATGTAGAAATCACATGCTCTATAGACTTACTTCCAGACTGACTGTAAAAAAGATCCCCACTTTTTTTTAAAACATGGAAACAGACTCAAGTTAGAGCAACTGTACTCATCTTTGACGACAACCTTTTTTAAAGTTTTCACTCAACCCTCACTTAGAAAATGCATACAAAGGATCACTGCAATTTTTTTATTGTGGGAACCTTCCATTTCTCCTTTTCTGATATTTTTGTTCCCTTTCTTATGTAACAGCAATTGAAACAAATAAACAAGAAGGAAGAATCAAAGTTTGCAAAGAAAAAGAAAGAAAGAAAGAAAGAAAGAAAGAAAGAAAGAAAGAAAGAAAGAAAGAAAGAAAGAAAGAACATAGATGGGGCAAGCTCCAAAGCAGCCCAATAGGGAAGGAGTGTGTTCAGTGGCTAGAGAATATAGACTGGGAAGTCAAGGAGGATGGAAAATTACCAGGGAGATAAAATGGCAAGGAAAAGGAGAACAGAACAGCACTCCATCCCGCAATATTAGGTTGCAGACCCCAGCTGTATTAGACTAATCATGTTGTCAGGGACGTTACTGAAAAGCAGTGTGTGGGTAAAATTGATAATAGAAGTAATGCATTTAAATTAAGAGTAACAAGTACCTACCTGAATATCTCTGTAAGATAACAACAGGTTTATCACAATGTCAGCAGATAGAAGCTCAATATTATCCACCCGCTGCCGTATCCTTGCCAGCTCTGCAGCTAGTTCCTTCCCCGTGTACAAGTTACGGGCTTTTCTGATGTCATTAAGAATTGACTCTTTGAAGTACTGGCTATAATAGAAAATAAAATCTCCATGTAAGGCCGAATAGTCTCTTGGTTATTACACTAGGATACATGTGTAGGGCTCTAACTCCACTCCTTTCTCAAACATAAACTAAAAACGGAATCAGAAATAGGGATCTAGATCGAAAAAATGATACTGGGTCACAACCTATGTTCTGAATGAACAAAAGAAATTCCAAACTCATTTTTTTTCTGTAAGGAAAAGCAACACATCACGCTGCACCTCTTTGAATTCTGAAGACCTCAAAATATTCAGGTATCATAGGATATAGGCAGTTAATCAAATGAGAGGTGCCTCCAAAGATGTGACTCAAGTTAACAGGAGAAGAGGAAGTGGAGTCTCCCTCTCTCAAACTCATGAGTCTCTGAAGTAGAAGGAATGGGATTGTGGGCTCTCAGTAGACAAGTCACACTAAAGTCCTACTGGCTTGGTCTTCTAATGCTGTGCATCTCCAGAAGCCCTCAGCCCTGGCCATGATAGCTAAGGGTTCTGGAAGTTCAAAGCCAAGGAATTTATGGAGACTAACATTTGGGAGCCACTGCTCTCATTGCTTGGCCAGAAGGAAGCCAACAACACAGGCTCAAGAATTTGGCCATCCCTGCTATGAATAATATTCTTACAGACATGAGCACCTAGATTATTACCTCAAATGGACCAACATTTTTTGTCCAAATATGCCAGGAATATATACCATTATTCATGCCCACTGGCAACAATTGTTCCTTTCTTTCCTAGAAACTCATCAAGTACCAGAAGCAAATGGCTCATAGGACACCACCAATCCATGGACCACCACTTTGAGTAATACTGCTGTGAACTGTCATTCCACTTCATTTACTTAGATTCCACCATTCATAAGAATCACAGGCAGGTAAGTTCTTCCTTTCTGACAGATTTTGCCCTACTGCAACAATAGCAAAAGACACATGAGAACCTTACCTTGAGCTGCCCTGTGCCATCTTCAAAAGCTGAACAAAACGGTCAACCAATGGAAGGCATATTGGTCCAAGTAATAGTTCAAAGTTGGGCTGCATCAGCTCTGTTAATCCCTTCATAAAACTGCTGTCACAGCAATATACTTTATTATGAGGAGTTATCATATACGGAAGAAATATGTAGTTGCCAGTACACATCTGTGAAAGAAAAGCATGTGCTTAGCATAAGAAATAAATGTTGTTAATAATACATTATGTGCAGCCTAATGAAATGTACTGAAGGATGTGAAAGTTCACCTTTCTATTTTATTTCAATGGTCCAATTAAGGTATTACCCAAAACTGTTTTGAGGCTTTGCTCAGACCACACAGCTGGGTTCCTGCATGTTTC